CAAGACATTTTGCAATGTATTTCTGATAGTAATACTAGTTTAAGCTCAAATATTACCACCCTTACCAAAAATAAAAAAACATACGTGGTCACTCCATATTTTATAAAAAAACTGGACGATGATTCTTTAGTTACTTGTATTATTTGCAAAAATTCATTTAGCAAAAAAATAGCAACAGGCACATTACGCAAGCATCTTGACACACAACATCCAGGATGGAATACAATTGAGATTTTTGCATTTACACAAATGGTTTTAACACAAAGTTTGATGGTTGACCAAAAGGCACGGTTTAATATTTTATTGGCCGAATAGATTGTTTCGGACACCTTACCTTTTTCAATAGTTGGAAGCAAAGCATTAATCACTTTGTTAAAATTTCTAAATGCCACTCTTGAATTACTTTCACGTGAAACTATCAAGTCAATCGTACATAATTCTTTTATTTCAATGAGAGGTGATGTTCAAACTCTCTTTGAACAAATTTCTGGCCAGATTTCAATAATATTAGACTTTTGGACTTTCCATGCAAATATGCCCTTTCTTGGTGTTACTGCGCACTGGATCAACAAAGATTGGAACCTTAAAAAGATATTAGTTGATATGTGCATACTACCACACCCACATACTGGTGAGGATATTGTAACACAATTAAAATCCATTTTAGCAATTTTTAATATTATGACCAAGATAATTTGTGCAACTACAGATAGCAGATCTAATGTTGTTTTAGCAATCCGCTTACTAAATATGCATTTATCTATGCAAAACCACCATTTTTATTCACGTTGCTGTCTTGCACATGTGTTACATCTTGTTGTTATGGCAGGTATGGTGCCAATTAAAGTATCAATTGAAAAAGTACGTAGATTCATAAAAGCTATTACATCATCGTCCACAATCACTCAAGATTTTAAGGAAATTGAACAGTCAGTTGGCAAAGGTGAGTAGTTCGCAAAATTCCTCAAGACATATCAACTAGATGGAATAGTACCTACCTTATGTTATTAGTTTATACATCTATGCCTATGATGATAGCAGCAGTTATGAGGTGTCATAGTAATCTTGTCTATTATAGGCTTAGTCAAGAAGAAGATTCTGATCTTCAAGCTGTAATCTGGTTTTTACAACCGTTTTATGAAATTACAAATATACTTTCTGGTAGTACATATGTAATATTGGGCCTTTCCGCTTTATTAATAGATGATATAATTGATGTTATTTTATCATATATTCAAGATTTATCAAGTCCCCAATTTCTTAAAACTGCTGCAACACAAATGATGGAAAAACTTAATCAATATATAAATCATATCTATGACAAAGCAGCTATTATGGCTTCGATTCTTGACTTCCAAATAAAACTTGAATTAATGCTAGTTAATATGAACACACCAGAAAATCAAGATTATTTTAGTCAGATTTTTCAGAAGTATTTAGAGTCTGGATTAAATAATTCGCCTACTAATACAACTTCAAATTCTGAAAAAGTATTAAATTCGATGACATATGTTAAAAAAGTTGCGCAAAAACGATATCAGCTTAATGTCTTAAACAGTCCAATGGATGAACTTACCAAGTATTTAAATGAGGCTACTTTACCAATAAACATTAATCCTTTGGAATGGTGGAAACTTAACAGTTTTCATTTTCTGGTTATGTCACGAATGGCTAAAGATTTTCTTGCAATCCAGGTGATATCAGTGCCTTCTGAACAAATATTCTCGAAGGCAGGTGATACTATCCAGGCTAAACGTGCATGTCTTTCTGAAAAAAGCATACAATCATTGATGTGTACTGGCTCATGGTTGGAACACGGTATTAAATTTCATAAGGATTGATTTTATTTTTTAAATATGCTTTATTTTTTTTAAAAAAATAATTTTTTTTAAAATAAATATTTTTTTAAAGTTTTTTTTTCTTTTAAAAAATGTTTTTTTTTAAAAGTTTTTTTTTTTTACTTTTAAAAAATATTTTTTTTAAAAAAAATTTTTAACTATACATTGTATTACGTTCTACATGCTTGCAAATTATGAATTATAAAGAAATTTTATGCTTGCAAATTATGAATTATAAAAAATATGGATATGTACAGTGCATATATTTTTACTAAAATAATTAAAAATATTTTTTTATAATGATAATAGTAATCAAATTGGAGCTGTGGCTCTTGTTAGCTCGGCTAAAGAATAGCTTGGCTAAAAGCAGCTTGGCTAAAAAGCAGCTCAGCTCATATGATATCAAGCCATAGCTAAGCCGAAGCTAGCCATTTGCATCACTGCTCATGAATTGTTATATAGCCAAAGTCTTCTAATTTCTAAGGTTTTTTGAAAGACATTTAATTTTTTTCAGGTACTATGGCCATAATTTTAAGGAATCAGTTAAATCATAAGATATTATAAGAGTTTTACTGATAATTTACCAAGTATAAAGCAACTTAAACTACACTAACCTTTGTACTAATCCATTATCTATTTTAAAATCTAAAATTGGTGTCTTAGTGAAAGACGAAATCTATATTATTCTCCAATAACCTTAGATTGCTCGATAATAGACAATATATAGCTATCAGGTTTGGTATAATTCGTAACAATCTACCTCTAGCAAACATAATATTAAATCAGTCCAACCCTAATCTAAACAGTTTAGCTTTGTTAGAAAAATGGTTAAGTTTGATCAGCCTATATCTAATTTACTATTATAGCTGTTTTCATAATCTCTAAAATACCTGATAAAAAAATCTGCTGAATGATTTTTCGGCCGTTCTGGTTAAGTTATTATTTCAGCATAATAGATTCAATAAAATTACAAATTATACGTATATAACTTTTGTATTACAAAAATTTTGCCTGTATTATTAGACTTTGTGTGCTAGCTCTATAAAAGTTCTGGACAACGTTATTTACATAATAATTATATATTAGAAATTTACACACAAATTTCCATCCCTATATATCTCTATATCTCTATATATAAAAGATATATATATTATATATGATACTTTTCTATGATAATTTTAACATATAAATGTCAGTATGTTCAATATTACTAAATTTTCATTTAAATCCTTGCCTAATATATTTAGTGCTGTAGTATTTAGTCTGTACGAAAACATGTATATTTTTTTTTTTTTTTTTTTAAGGTGATCTCTTGGTCGATTCTCTTTTATTCAGTTATTAGTCAAGTTTTACCGTACGCTAAGCCCCTTACGACACCCGTACAGTATACATATTTTTGGAGAGTACAAACTAGCCACACATACAACTTTTGATTGCCTATTTAAGTAGTCCGCTTATTACTAAGTTCTAC